ATAGGGAAGAAATGTGGATGCATTAATTCTTTACTTTGGAGAAGATCCTGCACGTTGCACATTTGAGCAAGGTATTCCTTCAAGTAAAAGAAGTTCCCTATACTTGTGGAAAGGCTTTTGGGGTTCATGTTATGACGGATTATTGCAAGATCAGAGAATACTAAAAATGTAAAGCCTGTCATGATGCATTTATATGGAGGATTCAAGTGAAGGTAGAGGTTTGTTGATATGTCTTGAATCTGATCATCACTACTTGCGTAAGTACGGGTCTCGCGGCCTGATCAGCTAGTCCAACACAATGTTTGAATCTTGCGATAATCCGTCATAACAGTTTATAGTAAGGGTAACAAAGGTTGAGTGTTATGGGGCATCCAGGACCGGATTACCAAACCCTACCTCATGCGATTTGAGGTGGGTATAAACAATTGTTTTATTGCCTTACTGCCTGGGACAGGTTTAGTACTAGCACCGTCGGTGTAAATTTAATTGATAACCTTTGAATACAAAAGTACTAAATTAGTGAAGGGGCGAGAATAAATACTAGTGTGTGCCTATGGGGTACATGAATGAAGAATACTTTAACTGTATGAAGAATATATTCATACAGTTAAAAAGGATAAAAGGAGTGAAATTACTAGTTAGGTTTATGAGGTATAATTAACGATAAAGTTATTTTTCTTTTAATAACATTTAAGAAGGATAAAAGTTCTATTAAACTGCAAAAACTGAACCAAATACGGAAAAACTGACACAGAATGAAGAAGTAGCGTTGAAGTGTTCCCGGACAGGAAGGGTTTAGGATTAGGGATCATTAAGAAGTTTTGGTATGGGTTAGGAGCAAGATTTTTAGAACAAGGTGATAGTATAGGGTCAAGATTTGGGGAGTAAGCAACCCCAAAGGAGTTTTTTAGTAATGAATCTTGCCTCACATGCATTCTGAACTTTTATTGCAGTCATCTCGACTCTACTAAACTTTGTGAAAATGTTCAATCAAGCGAATGAGGAAAATTGCAAGCAGCTGGAATCTGAGAGGAAGAAAGCAGAGAAGGAAGGAGCAGCAGAGAAACTGAAGATGAGTGGTCCAGATAAAGAGGCTCCAAATATGATAATGCAACTTAGCACCAAGAGCTTTAAACAATCAAAATGATCATAGATATTCTCTGATAACTCTCTTCCTAAAAGTGGAATAATCATACATTAACTCCCTTTCCCAAGAAAGAGTTTCTATCTATAATACTGATTTCATTAGTATTATAAACATGAATCTTTTTTGGGGGGCGGAGAGTTACAAGTGAGTGGCTCTCCTAGATTGAGAACCATTAGAGATCCAAAGCTGTTCTTGGTAAAGCGAGTGTAAGTTTCCTGTTAGAAAGCTGGGGAGATAGGAGGTGTTTGGTAGATATTGAATGAATTGCAGGTTAAGTTTATTATAGGTAAAGCTTCAAATTCTGTGATTCAACCGTTTTTCTCCCTTCTTAAATGTAAGCTCGTTTTGAATCATTGCTTTTTATTGTTTCAGGCAGGAAGCTGGAGTTGCACTTATTCCAAGTAGGGTAAGTGTACATGTATATATATTACTGCTTTGTTAGAACTTTAGAATAATATCCAGGAATACTTGAAAATATACAGAGTATGGAGTATATATATATATAAAAGAATGAGTGCCGTTCTGGCTTCTGTGATGTATATATCAGTTTGGATCTCTGTTATGCCATTACTTCGTAGTGGATTTTTTGTAAGGTCTGACACAGAAAGAAGAACTAATTCTTTGCTTGTTAATTACTCAATCAGAGAAGTTGTTCAGTCCCTGTCCAACCTATATCAGTATATTGGGCTATAGTGTACAGTAGAGAAGAATGTTACTTTTGAGGAAAGTTTATTCCATCGTAGATAACATATTGTTTGTGTATTATTTGCACTATTTTCCTCATTTCTGTTTCTGGCTTTCTAGCGAGTATATAAGACTGTTATTAAAGGCTGGGGATAGCACACTTTAATATTTGGGATCTCATCCCGTGTTTGTACTTGGTGTTGGGTCCATATCTTATACAGATTATGTTGTAACCACTTGCTCATATAGAAAGGAAACTCAAGACGCATAAATGCCTTCACTCGTTAAGGAAGCAAGTGAGCCAAGGAGTCTGAACAACCTATGGGTTATCCTTCACGCGTTTAATAATTGGTACATTAAATGGGTTTCTGCTTGACAAACTTTATAAAAATGAAAATTGTATGATTGAATATTGTGCAATGAAGATGGACATGTTTTCAAGTTAGTTAATTTCACTCTTTTTTTATTGTTAAATGAGTAATTTCTCCGGGGAATTGTTATTGTCTACAAAGAAACTTTTCTTAGTCTATTTCTCCCAAGAACAAGGTGATGTCTAGAAAATAGGAAAACATATTCCTACTATAGATATGAGACTGATTAAAAATGAAAAACGCAAAATGAGAGAAAAAAGAATGTACATGTTTTGATGATGAGGATGTGACGCCGTAGTTTTCCTTTCACGTGCTACAAGCCTACAAATATAACCGTTTTTTCTACTGATTTATGGTAGACCTTTGTTTTTGCATTTCGCAACTGACAATGTTTTTTCCCTGGACTATACGAAGTATACTTTAACTGTTTCCTTATAAGTGGATAATCTGATAATGTGGTTACAAAGTTGCATTATAATGTGGATAATCACCACACAGTTTTACACCTTGTGTAGTGGGCCAAAAACAAAATTAGTGTCTTGGTATACGAAACAAACAATAACTGTCTATTCCAAAGATTATGATTGTTTGTGTCATCAAATTATGATTTTTTTCAAACAGATTTATCATACATAAAATAGCGGTTCTGCTCACAGAATAAATACGTAATTGTTTGTAGGCAGATGGATCAATGGTGCATTGGTGCATTTGTCGGATCAATTTATATGTGATTTGGGAATAGAGAGATTTTGTGCAAATAAAGAAAACAATCAAAAGGTAGAGAAGAGAAAAAAACAAAAAAAGACCAACGGAAAGATTGCCAAATAGTGAAGTACGTGATGGAATTTGACTTTCTAACAAACTAAGGTCAAAATTGAAAAAAATAAAGTTGACCACAACAGTATTTGTTCTAATAATTAAGAACGAGTGCCTCATTTCTACCGTCTCGTGTCTTGTCAATTGATTATTTTTTGTCCACAGAATGTTACTCGTATTATTCTCATACTAGAATTGAATTGCTTTTTAAAGGATTTTTTAATTGATTCTTGATCGATTTGAATTGATTCTGTGAAAAATATTTTGTATTCTAAATTGGCGACAAATTTCCTAATTTGATCGTGTAGAAAATTAGAGAGAAAATGTTTTAAAGTAAGTTGATAAATTGCAAATCAGAAAATTCCCTAAATATGATTAAAATATGGATAAATTTGATAAATAGGATCGTTAATGCTTCATTTTCAAAATAAGACTCATTCACTATTATTTTGAGAAGTTTTAATCATGTTATTCGTTTAATAGGATTAAATAAATCTTATTTGATGAACAAAACATTTTTTTCCCGGGGCAAACCACACTTGGTGGGGAAAGTGTCGGGAACACTTTCCGCTTTTATTAAAAAATGTTAAGGAGAGTTACACCAAAGAATAACAGAGAAGTACGATAGTACAAAAAAAAAAATGTAAATGAAAATAAAAATTACGTAGTACAACATTAGCAATTGAAAGTTTTTTAGCGTATCTCAACAAAAGCTGAGATGGACCTCTTGTATTTATTATGAAATTTTATAGCCTTTGAAGGTAGGGCCCGTAGATAGTTGCGTTCAGGTTGTATGATTTGAATCGTTTGAGTGCTGTGGTGAGCTTGTGTGGCGAGTCGAGACCCGTATTTACTGGATAGAGATAATAATCTCAATCATCATGAGGCCTTCGGGATTGGCTTCTGGTAACCATTGAATGTGATGCATATCCGACCGCGTAATGTTCTTGTATGGGATGAGGTGAACAAAACATATTGTCTTATTTTTGAATTTTGTGTATGTTTTGAACTTATATTGAGCAATTCTATATTATAAGTATTACGAGTGCCGATAATGTGAACGTGTATAAGGAAAAAGGTATTTACCTTAATAGAACTAAAATATACCCTCTTTCCAAAATAGGACCAATTAGTTGAAAAGGGTATTTTTTTTATTTGCGATTGATCCAAAATATCCTCAAAGGGCTGGACCACCTAGCTTTTTTGAATATCTTATAGGGATATTATCATTGACCTCCCTCAAGATTTCACGTATTATCATCTAGACCCCTGTGTATTCTTTAATGTAAGTTTACTAACTCCTAATTATGCTTAGAAAAATTATAAATTTTGTTATATAAATTTACTGACTTGCATATTTGATCTGATAACTAATAAATTTACCTGCATTAAGAATATTTTCACCAGAAAGTTTTAAAATGGAAAAAGCTGAAAAATAGGCCGAGAGAGTAAAACAGGAGTATCATTATTTGCGTGCGAAAATGCTCCAAATTGAAACTGAAAAGCCCAATCTGAAGATTGAAACAGGAGTAACATTATTTGTGTCAGACAATGTGGTTTGTGTCAGACAATGTGGACGCAAAAAAACTATTTGCGTCATGATATTTGTGTCGACTTGTGGACGCGAAAAACCTATTTGCATCGACATTTGGGCTTTTGTGTCGACTTTTTGTCGACGCAAATGATCTTTTTTCTCCTCTTAAAAGGATATAGACGTGAGACAATATCATTTTCGATTATTTAGGAAGAGTAAAACACTTCCATCTATAATGTAGGATCAGTGGAAAATACTCACGCACATATTAGTGTAGAAAATAACTCATAGACTTGTATATTGAGAAATGATTGAAGTTTTAGTTACTTAACATATAATTTTCTCTAAAATTAATTGACACTTTGAGTCTTTGACATCTTATCAACCTCATCCCACATTGCAAATTTGCAACACCTTAGTTTATTTTTAAGGACTAACTGCTTATTGCATTCATGCATCCTATCAACCACTCTCTCACTCTCTTTGCCTGCATGTATGTATATATGTGGCATTTTCCATCATTATACATGCCTGTCATTACTACCACCGTCATTTTCTTGAGGTAAATCTTCAATCCAAAGACACAACAACCCGTGAGCTTCCTCTCTACTCATCATCATTTTCCAATTTTGATTCTAAACCTGTAAAGAGGAATAAGAAACAACTAATGATGGATGTAGGGAGGAGGAGAGGCGGCAATGGTGGTGGTGGGGTGGCGGCAGGCTCTGTTTGGGATCACAGGACAAAACTTCATCATGATGCCCCCAAAGATGATAATTCTCAAGAAGTGAGCACCAAGAGGAAAATCTGGAAATCTGAGAGCAGCCCACTTCAGATTTCTAGAAAAAGATCCCAACTTTACAAAGATTTGAGTGCCAAAAGCCCAATCCAGATCAACAAGACAAGATCCATGGTGGTGCAGAAAAGCCAAAACAAAGGGTCTAATGTGGATCACATTATCAGCCCTGTTCATCTGAGGAAAATGAGATCAGAATCTGCTGCAGTATCAAGCAAACAGGTAGTTCCTGAGCTGGAATGTGAGGATGAAGGAAATGAAAAAAAGGATTCATCAAATCTACTTCAGTTGGTCTTAGCTCAGGTCAAAGATGCAAATTTTGAGGAAGGGAATGCTTTGGAAGGAGATGAAAATGAGATTATAAAGCCAAATGGGATTCGAGAAACAAGATCTGAGGAAATTGATGCTTGTGAAGAAAAAGTCATCACAACCAATGAGGACTTGGCTCTAGTCAAATTACCGCTTAAAGTGGAAACTGATAATGTGGAAGAGGAAACTGAGGACAAGATTGAGATTAACAGTATTCTTGTTATGAAAGAAATGAATGTTTCAGAAGAACAAAGGCCTAAACAGAATGTGACAGAAAAGGAGTATAATCCACCCCTTTATGAAAATGGATGTGCCAGATTTGCCTCAATTCCATCAACAGCCAAACGAGGTACTAATTGCCCTGGAAATGAAATCTATTTTTTTCTCCATCAGTTCTAACAGCTCCACCCTTTTCTGTTTCTTTTCAGAGAATTCACATTCAACTTCTAGTCCCCAATGCAGATTACAGAGTCTGGGTAATTTTTTGATTTGTTTTATTTTACTTTCCAATGAACTTTTATTTTTGTATCGAAAGAATTTGTTTAATATTCTTTTTTACTATTACCGATTGATTTTGCTTTTTTTTTTACCGCATGACAGTTGATTTGGTGATGTGGAGGGATGCATCAAGAACAGCATTAATGTTTGGAGTTGGGACATTTATTATCATCTCTTCATCATACTCTCATGAACTTAAAGTCAGGTCATTGGATGTTTTGAGCCTATCTTAATCATTATTTAATTTATGTTTCTGTCTATAACTTGCTATTTAATTCTGGTTATTTTGTTGGGTTTCACAGCTTCATCTCTGTGGTTTCCTATATCAGCCTCCTCTATCTTGCTGTTGTTTTCCTCTTCAGATCCCTTGCTCAGAGGTATATAAATCTTTGAAAAACCAATAATTTGGTCCTCCTACTATCACGGAAAAGTCAATTCGGTTCTAGTTTTTATAAAAAGATCAATCAAATACCCGAACTTTGTAAAAACGTTCAATTAAGTTTTTTTTGTAGGTAACTTGTCATGTCAGCAGGTCACCCGTTGATGTGGCATACTCGTGGACCGCCACGTGTGCGCCACGTCACCGACAAATGGTTGACTGGACTTCCACATGTGCGCAACATCAGCAAATTCATTGCTGATTGGACTACCACATGCGTGTCACGTCAACGAGTCACCTGCTGACGTGGCAAATAACCTGGGACTCAATTAAACGTTTTTAAAAAGTTCAGGGGTTTGATTGATTTTTGTAAAAGTACGGGGATCTAATCGACTTTTTCGTGATAGTACGTGGACCAAATTGATAGTTTTCCCATAAATCAATAAAATGATAACAATAGTAATATTAATAGATTTTTCCATCATTAATTCCAAATCATGTACACTTTATTTATCATTATATGTAATCATAATGCATATTTGAGACCACGAAGCCAAGGGATTGCGGCGGGGGAGAAAAGAGATTACGTAGTTGGAGAGGAGGAAGCAATATGGGCCCTGAAACGGATACTTCCTTACGTAAATGAGTTTCTTTTGAAAATCAGAGCACTCTTTTCAGGAGACCCTGCAACAACATTCAAGGTGAAATAATCCCTGTATTTACTACGCAGTAATTTATTTGCCACTCCCTGCCAATGTTCTAAAAGGCGTAAGGCGGGCCGAGGCGGCATGCTCAAGCCTTAAGCCTTTGAAGCCTAGGCGAGTTTAGGCGAAGTCTAGGCGTGAAAAGGCGTTTTGATTTTTTATTATTTAATTTTACATTTTTAGAGTTACTTTAAATATTTAAATGCAATACTTAACAATGTTTCTTCATCCCTTTATATTGTTTCATCTTACTTTTCTTATTTGTCCTACTAAGTTAGTCTGATACAACATTTGATACTATTCGTCACCTGTAATTTATTGTTATTTTATTCACATTTTAACAATTTACTACTAATTACATAGTTTTACTTTTCTTAATAATCACACCACTCTATTCGAACATAAGTAGAAGTAGTATCATACAAGAACATATTACTTTTTTAATTTCCAGCAAAGTATAGATCCCTTAAGTTGTAAATCTCACAAATATAGATTTAGTTGTTATACAAAAACTAGAATTGGATAAAATATAGTTGTATGATAAAGTAATAATCATGATGATTACAAAAGTGATGATGATGATATTAAATTAATACTACATCCATTCCATATTGGTTGTTACTAGTATATTTTAATTTGGTACGATTATTAATAAAATGAGTGAAAAGTAAAAGTTATGGTGAAGAATTGGGTAGAATAAAGTGAAATAATAAGAATCACATATTTATTGCAAAAAAAGAAAATATGGCATTCATATTGTGACAACCTAAAGGGAAGTAGGACAACTAAAATTAGACTGAAGGAATAATAATAAGTAACGGTTGTTCACTTTTTTAGCATTTTAGAATAATAATTTTATAAAGAAAACAAATTAACAAAAATTAATAAATGGCCGTGTAGGCATATGGAGCCATAGTTATAATCGAAGTCAATTAATCCCACACCGTAGGGAGAGACGAACGGCTCTTTTCTCATGCGTGTTGAAATTTTGTTTCAGTACTTTGACATTAACTTGTCCCACACCGGTGGAAGAGGCAACTCCTCCTTACCGATGCTTTATAAATTAGTTTAGCTATCTGTTACGTGTTACTTATAGTTGCCTAGAGCTTCTTTGGTCT